TTGCTGGTTCAGTTCATGCTACAGCAATATCGCGGTGTGGACACCAGAAATGGGCTTCTCACATTGTACCCATATGGGGAATCGGGCCTCCTTCTGCCGGTTTTAACATGAACGAGACCCAACTCCGAAGATCTAGGACCCTATGGAATGCTTCCCTAATAACGACATTATTTATTTTATTGAAGGTATTTACGTTTTTCTTCAATGCGATATATTGAGATAGCTTACTACATATGTTTTGATTGTGATGTATGAAGCTGATGCAAAATGGGTTCATGAAAATGAAAATATATTGTATCATATACCAGTTTAACTGCAAAATAAATATTCGATAGTATATCCTTGGCCTTTCTGTTTTCGTGAATCCAGTTGTCAAACTTAAACAGGACTTGCAAGAACAGTCGGGCAAAGATATTGAGACGTTAGAAAAGATTGGGAATTGTTAATCTTTTTATTATGTGTATTTTTACACTTTACAACAGCCTGCAACTGATATTAAATGTATACCGGACTAAAATGCATTACAACACATGATAAATCTCCAGCGGTGTATATGATGCAGTGAAGTAATTGTCGTTACAGGGACTACGAGAGACGAACAGGAGGCATACGATGCTCTGAGTGGGTGCTCAAGGTCTGATCTCAGACAGGGTGGACAATACAAGAGCAAGTCCAACATGCGGAGAGGAAAATGGGTGAAGGGACGTATAACTAAAATAGTTGCAAACACAATGACATCCTAAAATCTTCAACCGGTGTTCCCTGTTCGATTTATTTTTATCCTGTGTGGTACTTCTCTGCCAGGTTCTGGAAGGAAGATATGCCAATTTCAACTCAGTCATGTTGTGATGAGAGTCAGCTTCGTCTTCTTCCATGCCTTAATCACCAAAGCTACACAGGCGGATGAGAACTGCATACACTGTCCTTCCTGTGTATGACTTCACCACAGAGAAGACAACGGTAAGATCATCTCGGGAGCAATGACTTACTGAATAACGTTATTGAATGATGAAATGCAGCTGTCGATGAAGGATCATGATGATGCAAAGACAGTCGTGTACTGCCACGAATGTGATGACAAGCTCTGCTCTACGACTGCCATAAAGACTCCACGACACGCCGAAACGGAATCAGAAATCACAGAGTGAGTGAGATTGACCGATCAACAGGCATCCTATGACGCAGTGGCTGAAGGAGGCTATTTGCAGAGACCACCCTGACAACAAACTGCAGCTGTATGACCACGCATGTAAGAAGGCAGTCTGTCTTATATGTGTGCATGAGGGCCACAAAGATCACCAGAATGAAGACCTGTATCCGGGCCTATGACGTAGCGAAGGGTCAGCTGGAGGAACAAGTGAAGAAACAGCAACTTAAGTGGAAGATGTCACTGGCAGGATAGCTATACTAACCACCACCAAACTGAACTGCGAAGACTACACAAAGAGACTGGAACAAGTTGCGACTACAGTTTACCGCGAGGTGCCGCTGCAAAGTTGCTTCATCGACAGAGACAACTCATGGAGAAATTCAAGTGAGTCTACAGTCCCCATACAGAGATGGTTCAAAACTTGACGCTTTACATGGCGTCCATGCTTCTATAATTATCAGCCTACACCAAGAAGAACACTTGAATCTACAAGACGAGATGAGCTGACGATTGGCCCTCTGAATGTGAATACAGTGAAAATCTGGATGAAGCTTCCAGAAGATGACACACAAACTGCAGAATCCTTCTTACGAACAGAAGCCTGGAGGAACTTATCAGCATTTGGTGGTCTCACCTTCCAGTCTCAACATGGATCATATTCCAGATTCTCGGCCTACTTCTGAAAGTGTCCTCATATAATAATGACATATTACATTTAGATAATACTCACAGGAATGGACCAGTTTGACTAACTGGATGCGTCTTTTACTGCAATGTCGATGATCGCTTTATTTAAAACAGGTGCCTGTTAATCTGTAGTAACGGAACACGTATCCAGAAGAATCTCACCTGTTTAATTGATTTCGGTTGTTATTTATGCTTTGTAAATAGAAAGGCCTTTGCCAATATTAGACGACTATCAGATCGGGTCTGTATTTTGTTTCAGAGATGATGAACGATGACATTGAGAACGCCAAGCCAACGAGGTAAACCATATTTGTTTAAAAGCAGGAAACCTTATACAATTTGACATTTGACTTTATATTAATAATGATAATCATAAAGTACATTCTATATGGGAACGTGGATTGGTTCTCATCGGGAAACGTCAACCCAACTTCTATACTGCATCTTGTAATGTCATAATGAATGTAAATATGGTCTCTATATACTCAAAACGCTATATGTGCGTGCGTGATATTTTTAATTTGACAAACAAAATGTCAGACGGTAGAAACATTAGAATTTGATCATTTACTTAATGGCTATTTATCGGAAGAGTAGGCACTACATAGCTGCAACAAATTCCTCTTATGTGAACTGAAAGCATATATTACTTTTTATAGTATGTTAATGAAGCAGAAGTGTTTTTCGCGCAATATTCATCCAAATGTTCCAACTAGGTGCATGTATGAAGTTCATGTGTTTCGTACAGGAGACAATTAAGAAGGAAAGAGAGACACAGGTCACAGACAAGAAAAGCAGAATGAGGCAGCTGAAGCTGTGTAAGTTGACATTTATATGAATACCAGAGAAAATACATGTGGAGTAAATGTTATTTTTGTA